GTTTCTATTAGTCTTCTGAAATGTTGTAGTAATTAAAAACAGGCTTGGAAATACTCAAATATAGAGTTTAAATTTTAAAAAGTAAAATTAAAAGCATGTATTTTTATCCTTAAAAATTTATTTATTTCCTTCCCCCTTCTGCCCTTCTATTTGTCTAGATTTTTAAAAAGCATGTTAATACAAATCGTGTGAATTTAATCTATTATACCTTTGGAAAAACCAGAACTCATACTCCCTGAGGAAGTGAACAGAGAGATCTTTCCCTCCTCTGAAGTCCTTCCACACTTTGACTATACCTCCTTCTGGCCACTTGTCCTACTATATGATGAATGGCAGTTATTCTTGAAAGCGTGACATTCATAATGGACAGGAACTGACACCTATAGTAATCCCCAAATTCTCAAATAGCAGTAACTGAGGTGTGGGTGATGTGTATGTGGAGGAGGGCAAGGGAGGTAAGGAAGGTCACTTAGCACAGTCTCATAAAAGTCAAACTGGAAACTTTATTAATCCTCACAATGATTCTATGAAGTGGTACTTTCAAGATACTCAGAGATGTTAAGTCTGGAAATGCCAATGGTATTATGTCTCATATCTTCTCTCAGACATACCATAAATTATTTATTAAAGACACATTATGTGTCAAGCACCATGTTCGATGATGGAGCAAAACAGATAATACACAATACCATCCCCATCCTCAAAAGACAATGTTGAAAGTACAATCATAGTGACAGACACCAGTTACCACAAAGGGTAACTGGGATGAGTAACAGAGAGAGTGACTCCCAGAGTGTACAGATGTCAGCCGGTCAGAGAAGCAGGGGAAAGTGTGCCTGGCAAGGAGGCAGCACCTACAAAACCCCAAAAGAAAAAACAGCATGATATGTGAGGAAATTTATACACAATTCAGTTATTACTGGAGTGTGGAGTTTGAGGCAGAAAGCAAATGGGACGAGGGCAGCTAGTTTATGGGGGTGGGATTCCTATGACATAGTAAGGACCTTAAAAATTATCCTGAAAGCAACATGGAACCACAAAGTGTTTCCCAGGAGCAGTAGGGTCATGTAATTATTTAATAAGGTAACCTTGGCTGCAGTATAGAAGACAGATTGGACAGAATCAAGATGAAGACAAGGGGACTGTTTCAGCAGACTGAAAGAGTGCTGATGAACATCTAAGCAAGGAGCAGTGATCAAAGGGCCAGAGCAGGAAAAGTAAATTTGAGAAATATCTAGGGACTCATTATCAAAAAACTAGGTAATTAAATAAGCGTAGGTCTGGCGTGGTGGCTCACGCCTGTAATCCTAGCACTCTGGGAGGCCGAGGCAGGCGGATTGTTTGAGCTCAGGAGTTCGAGATCAGCCTGAGCAAGAGCGAGACTCTGTCTCTACTAAAAAAAATAGAAAGAAATTAGCTGGACAACTAAAAATATATATAGAAAAAAATTACCCGGGCATGGTGGCACATGCCTGTAATCCCAGCTACTCAGGAGGCCGAGGCAGAAGGATCGCTTGAGCCCAGGAGTTTGAGGTTGCTGTGAGCTGGGCCAACACCACAGCACTCTAGCCCGGGCAACAGAGTGAGACTCTGTCTCAAAAAAAAAAAAATAAGTGTAGATAGTACAACAGAACAGGGCATCAGGATAATTCTTAGGTTTCTAGTTTAGGTAATTCTGTTAGTGCCACTAACTAAAATAGAGCATATGGGAGAAGAAATACAGAACATGCTGGGATTTAGAGACAATCAGACAGTCACTCTGAAATTTCCTGCAGGCAGCCTGAAGCTTAAAGAAGAGGTTCGTGCGTCAATAGCACATAAAACCCTAAAAGGGAATTTAATCTCCCAAGGAATGTTTGTACACCGCAAAGAATGAGTTAGGGTCTGGGCCTTGATAAATGCCAATATTTAAAGTAAGAAAAGAAAGGAGTTCATGAAGAATAGGGACTACAAATTGTCACAAAGTGTCAAAAAAGCCAACAGAATAGACAGACTTCAAAAAGGATGAAGTTGTTAACAATCTCAGATACAGCCAATACACCTAGTAAAATAAGGATTGTAAAAGACCCTTGGTTCAGGCAATTACGCAGTCACTGACAACCTTGTTATATTTAAGTGATATAACCAGAAGCCAGAACGCAGAGGGATGATGCACAGGGAAAGAACATGGAACTAGTAAGTAGTTATTATGTTTTCTAGACAATGTCATCAAAGAAACACAGATGAGGCGGGAAAGAGACTAAACAGAAGCCAGAGAGGAAATGGGGTCAAGTAAAGGCTTCCCCTTGCCCAGAATGGAATTAGCTAAATTTACTTACATGTTGAGGGGATAGAGAGAGAGCAAAGAGGGTAAGGCTTAATTAAGATTAGAAAGAATGACAGAGTAAGAGATTAGAATGCAGTCCGAGACACACACACACACACACACACACACACACACACAGAGAGAGAGAGAGAGAGAGAGAGAGAGAGAAATTACAATCCCAAAAGAAACTAAAAAAATAAAGTCAAAATAAAGAGCTGGCCTGGTACACAATGAGGAACAGTTGATCCTCTGGGAGAAGGGAAAAGGAAGTAAGGAAAAGCCTGAAACAGCTAAATTTGTAAGAGAAGTTACCTTTCACAGAATATTTGTTTAATGCCTATTAAATAAACAGGCGGAAATTTTTGTTTATTGAATTTCTTACCTTCACTTATGTTTGGTGGTAAAATGAATCTAAAGTGATAATGAAATTAAAATATGTTGTGATGACAAATGTGACACTTCAACCATTCTAGAATTTAAGAGGAAACCAAAATAGCCAATTCCTTAACAGTTTTTACAAGGGAATTTATGGTAATATTTAGTGATAGATTATGATCTAGGGTACTGCTCCCAAGACGAAAGGGTACTGCTTAACTTTTGAGGCTTTTAAAATATTTTGGTGTTACAGACTTTAGAAGTTATTAGCTTCTATATCCCTCCAATAATTGATCAAGGGGATGATGCCAGCATTCATTTTCCTTCAAAGCTGTTTGTCAAGAATAGTGATGAAATATGATTACAGATTAGTAATAATGTATTAAAGTACAGTACAGATGCCTAAAATGAAGAAAACAATTGTCGATCAAGCCAGTATTTCTCATCAATGAGACTTTAGGGGTTGGGATTGGAACTGCTTTCTCAAGAATATGTTTTTCTCTTTTTTGTCCTTTTAGCATTATACATCAAATTGATTCTTAAATACAAAGTCCTTTTTAACAAAGGAAGGACGTGGCTCTCTTTTACCCATTTATTTTTAAAATTATCTAATTTTATCCTTATATATACTATGAAAAAATGTATAGAAAGAAAATATTTACTTCTTTCAGACTTTGGGGACTCACATACCATAAGAGTCATAGGGGTCGATGTTGGGATTAGTGGTATTCCAGCCCTGGATCAGTCCGTCAGTACCACCACTGTAACACTGCTCACCATCGCTGCTCATTACCACACAAAGCACTGGACCTCTGGGAGATTATTTTAAAAAAACCAATTGCAAGTCTCAAAAATCAATCTGATAATATGACTTCTTAAAAATAAGAATGTTTAATTACTCAAATGGCTATTTTTCTGCTTTTTATAATGAATAAAAATACAGGTACTATCAAAGCATTGTTTAGTTTTCTTCGTCTGCTAAACCAGGAGTTGGTCAACTATGGCCTACAGACCAAATCCAGTGGTCTGTTTATGTACAGTCCTCAAGCTAGGAATGGTTTTTACATTTTTACAGGGTTGTAAAACAAAACAAAACAAAAAATAAGAATATGCAACAGAAAAAAAAGAATATGTAACAGAAAGCACACAGCTTGCAAAGCCTAAAATATTTTTTAAAAGCCTAGAAGCCTAAAGATATTTATTATCTGACTCTTTATATAAAAAGTATACCTATCTCTGTGCTAAATCACGTGAATAGACACGTTCATTCAGCTTAAATGGAAACAGGATAAACATGCAATATGTGATCACAATAAAAAAAATTCTTGTGTCTTTAAGGAAAAAAAGTCAGGATTTCTAATACTTAAATCTAACTGCCTCAACTTTAAGAGAGATATATACATTATTTAAACAACATGCAAATAAAAATTTAAGCAAGGATTCCTATTTGGCAGCAATAAACTTGTTTTTAGCATTATATTATCTGCCAGTTTCTTTTACATTTACAGAAAAACACTAATACAAAAAATACATAACACAAATACATAAGTGAAAATAAAATATTCTAATAAGGCTGTTTTACAATCATGTTGGTTTAAAATAAAGAAAAAGCACATACTTACTTATGGGCCCTGAATGTATAGATAGGCTCTACATCAAGAGAAGTACTCCTAAATCAGAC